TCCTTACTTATGTATGTTAATTAATCAATAACGATTTGTTTAAAGTGCAGTAATGACTAAAGTGTTACTGTCTTTTATAAATGAATTAGTTACACTGCTAGTTTCTGGAAAAGTGACATAATTTCTGTAAGACTTTGCAATCAACCAACACTGTGCTTCAAGCTAAGGTCTTCTCCTCTACTGCAGCTAAAAGCACCAGCATATAGGTTTAACTGATGTGAAATGTCAAATGTCCATGAATCTTCAACAAAAAAGATCAAAGCCATTTCATCCTAATAGAATAGAGTTTTATAAACTAAGTTTCTACCAAGATATTGTTCAGGTAGCCCTTTATGAGCCTAAATAGAATTGCAGCGCTAGGTGCAATAAGAAGAGATAAAGAGATGTGGCGCCATCTGCTGGAAGTTGTGCGGAACTACACATGACACTTGACAGCTACCTAATGATCCAACCGCCCGTCGTGTGATACCTTATTGAAAAGCTGCAGCTTTGTTTGACCAAAGACCAACTGATAGTAATTTAATAAAACAATTTACAACAGCTCAAACTTCACAGCTTAAAGCTCAGAAATGTTTCAATTAAAATAAATACAAACATACTCATAAAATAAAACCCATTTTACCTCGCACTTAAAGGAATAGTACACCCAAAACATGATTAGCCTTCATTTTCTACTCACCCCCATGCTGAACAACACTCTGGAGTACTTTTTTGATATCTCAAATGCATCTGGAGATCTGGGAGGCTTCTTGCTGTCTGCTGACATTCAAATAATGGAGGTGCCCAGCGCCCGAGGCAGAAAGGTCCATAAAAGTCCACAAAAAACGTGTCAATATTCCTCCATACTGCTCGTCCAATGTATTCCAAGTGTCCTGAGTGGGTAGCATCCAGAATTTACTCGAAACGAAGTCATTTAGAATGTTTTTAGAGCATAAACAGTAGTGTATAGGATTTCCTGAAAGCGTGCACATGCGCGTTCACGAGCCTACGGAAGCCGGCAGACCAAACCAGATGAAAGTGCGCATTCAGCGTCTGCTCTGCCAATAATGCAAGCGTAGAAGAAGAAATGTGCTGTTTACCTGTGCAAAGAAAGAAACAACGAAAGAAAAATGTCTGAGGACTTCAGTGTTGAGGAAGAGCATGAGTTCTTTGCCGAGCTGAATGCGCTGGTTTGGTCTGCCAGCTTCCGTAGCGTCATGAGCGCGCATGTGCGCGCTTTCAGGAAATCCTATACACTACTGTTTATGCTCTAAAAACATTCTAAATGACTTCGTTTCGAGTAAATTCTGGATGCTACCCACTCAGGACACTTGGAATACATTGGACGAGCAGTATGGAGGAATATTGACACGTTTTTTGTGGACTTTTATGGACCTTTCTGTCTCGGGCACCATAGACCTCCATTATTTGAATGTCAGCAGACAGCAAGAAGCCTCCCAGATCTCCAGATGCATTTGAGATATCAAAAAAGTACTCCAGAGTGTTGTTCAGCATGGGGGTGAGTAGAAAATGAAGGCTAATCATGTTTTGGGTGTACTATTCCTTTAAATCAGAATAACGACCACATTCATGAAGTTTAAAAATGTATATTTGACCCATGTTTTTAGGAAATTTACTCAGGAGGTTTAGCCTCCCTATTATTGAATGAGAAATCACACTTATGCGCTGTTTCTATATTATAACACCATGGCAGCGCCTGGCGGCAGCAGTTTCATGTATCTCTCAACAATTCGTTTAATAATTCCACAAAATATGCCATTCCATATCAATGCATTTTTTTGCACCATGTTTTTTTCTCCCACACTATTTACATTTGATCAATGCTGCATTTTAAGAAATGGAAATGTTATGAAAGCTGTACAAAACAACAATAAAAGTTGTCTAAGTGTATCACGCCTCCAGTCAGGAGATGTTCTTTTTAAAGGGTTGTATACATTAACAAAATGAGAAAAACTAAGTGTAAAACACAAAAACAGCAAATATCAGTTTCAAAACACTAAACACAATTTTAATTTAGAGAAATTCATTTTTAACATGTTGCATTGAAAACATTATAAATATATAAATACAGATTCAGAGTAATTCAAAGTTTTTTTTCTGCCTATAAGTAGATACTTTTTACAGTACTTCATCTCTGACGCTCCTAACACCTCCAGCAACCATCTGAACCAAGGACCTTTCTTCAGTTTGTGGAGATATTTTGTTTATATAGCAATAAAACATTTTAATTAGGACACATACCTTGTTATTCTTTCTAATCTTATACTAAATGAATGTTACACCAGAGCCAGCTATTGGACATCAGTTTGGTGCCATTTAAGCTCAGTGTTTCATTCCTTTGGATGAGGGAATTTCTGTTTGGTAGGTTCAAAAAGGGGCTTTTTAAAAATAAAAAGCAATTTTTGGTGGGACACAGAATGGTGAAAAGCCAAAGTCAGTTTGACCTGGAGAAAAGCTGCAAAAAAAAAAACATGAAAAACTGTCAATTTGGCTCAACCACCATTTATACCAAAAGAAATTCCGAAAGAAAAATGGGGAACAACTAAAGACGAGTCACCTCACTGATCTACAAGCACATTTACATTCATATTTAATGATTATCTTTAAACCTTTGTGAGTGTGCATGTGTGTGTTTAATAAATAATTATATGAAAAGTGGAGCAAATTCTCTTTAAAAACAAAGATTTCTATTCAGATGAATCAAAAGTAAAAGAGTAATTATTATCCTAATGGAATCTTTGTTAAATAATCGATTTAAAGTTTTCCTTAAGATCCTTATTCCACTAAAATGAACAGTTGCACTTTAGATTTGTGCCTGATGGGACTTTATAATCTTTGTAATCTGTTTTAACTGCTAAAAAGACGTTGATTCTAGCGGTAATAAAGACCACTGCACGGTCAAGGCCAGCTAAAACAATAAGCTTTACCAAAGAGTTTTGGTAGAAAAGCTTGGTGCAAAACTAACTAGCAGAAAATCACAGTGAAATCTTTGAATCGATTCAAGTGGAGGAGTGAAGAATGGTTTAGAGTTGATGAAAATATAAAAAGAAAGTTTTTAGAAGCCTGTTAAAGAAAGTGTTGCTCAACCATTCAGAGAGCACAGCAGTATACCTGAAGTAGAAAACTATAACCTCAGAAGTCACTGATGCTGCAATTATTATTTTCTATACGATAATGATTTTCTTTAGAAAGAAAGTAGCAGCAGTTCCTGTAAAACCTCATAAATATATAATATTTAGATTAATAGACATGTATTATACTTTTTCAGGTTGTGTTCGATTAAAGCTTTAACATTTTAATGGAAGCAAATCATTACACTGGAAAAACGATCTAGAAATAAGTAAAGATTTCTTAAATTAAGTTTATTTACCCTTTATTTGAGTAGGTAAATAGGGTAATTTGCCAATGGAATGTGTATTTTTACTCTTAAAATAAGATAATTAGATAATATGCACTTGAAATAAGACAATGCAATTGTGTTTTCCTATTTTAAATGTAAATTGGTTTGTTCCATTGGCAAAATATATCTTTTTCCTCCTCAATCTAAGAATATATGCACTTATTTTAAGAAAAAAACAACTTATCTAGATTTGATTTTTTCCAGTGTACCAGTTATTACCAAATTACCAGAGAAAAAAACACTTAAGACTAACGAACTGATCTGAAGAAACTTAAGACTACATCACAAGCAAAGTTTGTAGCATCTATCAGAATGAAAATACTTCCATAGCCTTTATGAATCCAGAGGATAATAGAGGAGAATCCTCTGCAGAAAGGTCTGACCTTCTAAAATTATTTAGAGATCACTTTGACAACTCATCCAGGAGGTCACAGGGGAACCTGGAGCAACACCAACGCTATAGAGGCTTGTCTGGGTAAAGGTTAGAGGTCATGGCTGAAGAAAAATGGCTTCCACTGGAGAGATCTGCACCCAGAGCTGCTGCCAAGACAAGTTTAAAGCCAGAAAGACTCTGTTTTGATCCCTAAAGCTTTTATGAGAATATTATGTGGACTGAGGAGGAAAAATAAGGAAGGTTTGAAATGTCTGGTTGTTTTCTGGAAGACTTTTAACCCTAAATATAAACCACCATTTGAAAATACCATAATGCAGTGAATATGTGTGTTTTTTTATTTATTTATTTTATTGTTTTTATTTTAATTGTTTTTTTATGATGATGATGATGATGACGATGATATGAGATACTTTTTGTTTTAAAGCACGTATATAGTTCAGTTTAAGTGTAAACTTTTTCATAAATACCTGGTAAAGGAGTTGGTAACCTGAGTCGCCTCTGTTGAAAAACACAACAGGGTATGGAATGAATTTCGTTCCGTTATTTTTGCAATTTAAAAACATACTTTGTTTATGGAAAAATAGAAAATAATATAAAGAAGAACCAAAACCAAAAAAAAATTCTTAATCAGAAAACAGTTTTAAGTATAACTTTCCAGACACTTTCCTTTTTTTTTTGCTTAATATTTATCTTTTGGTACAGAGTTTTGTTTTAAATTTCACCTTTTTTAGATGTCTCCACCTCAATCCTAAAATAAACACTTGCTCTTTAAGCACATATTAACTGATAAACAATTTTTGTTTCTGACATTTCTGAGGAAGTGAAGAGAATAACTATCTAAAAAAAAATAGTTAAAAAAAATAGAATTTAGAAAACTCAATCCAAAAAACAGAATTCAGAAAAAACTATGCAATAAAAGAAACTTAAAGAAAAGATACATTTCACTTCTAAAACGCTTTTTTTCCCAGCCTTCCATAACAAAACCTGTTCTTTGCCTGCAACAATAATGTAAAGAAAGTCACTTCATACCAGGTGTAGCTCAGTGATTTCCTGATTGATTTTGTTTTGTCACGCTGAAGCCAAGAAGTAGCTCAGCTCAACTGTGCTTCTTGCCGTGCTCACTCTCCCAACTCTCAGAGGAAAAGGCTTAATTGCAACAGGTAATTCACCCAATGTGTTCATCAGACCTTTCTGATTAAATTTCAGGTCAACTGACTACGGTGCAACATACCAGAAGCTGAATGACAAAGTGGGGGCAAAGACGATCCTCAGCTATCTGTATGTGAGCCCCAACAACAAGAGGAAGGTAAGCATCATGGATGATTGTTTGATCTTCAATTAATGAATGTTTGTCTGTGTGGTCTGATTTTCATTGCTCATCTGACAGACTGTGAAATGCCATTTACAGCTGATTGTATTGATGTCTGACACATTGTTCAGGGTTTTCAGGAAGACAATCAGAGCAGAATTGATCATTTGCTCAGACGTAGATTCTACAAAAACAGATTAGACAGAATATTCATGATGAGGAAATGGATATCAGGTAATCATATATCCAGGTATTGGTAGAATAATAGTTAAAACTATCTGTTGGAGTTTGTTTTTTTTTTTTGTTTTTTTTGTCTTACAAGTCAAAGCTGATGTATATACTTTAAAAAAAAATAATTTTAAATCAGTTTATTAAGTTATTATTTATATAGAGTCAATGCACAACACATATGATCTTTAGGCACTTTACAGATATTCAATCAGATGATCCACTCAGATTGGAAATTGTATATTTAAGGGAAACCAGTCACGACTTTGCACGATTCACTCCTCTTGGATTGACATGCGGCACCAGTAAATGTGTACTTGCACTGTGTCGTTGACTCTACAGCAACCATTCATACAGAGCAAGCATGTAGCAACAGTGGAGTGTAAAAACTCCAGCTGAACCAGGCTCAGTATAAGCAGCCATCTGCTGAGGCCGCCTTGGGGTTCAATTAGACAGAAGCAGACATAGAAAAGGAAAATAGAAAAGCTGAGTCATAAATACTTTCTATGGGTAACTACATTAGCTCCACAGGTGGCTCTGTCTAGGAAATAAACGGTTAAATAGATGAGCTACAAGCCGGTTACAGTAAAAGCTGACACCATAGCTATGTGTTGGAAAGAAACAAGACTAAACACTGAAAAAACACCCCAAACTCTGTTGTCTATAATTGAAGGTGTTGATTGCAGCTGCCCAGCTAATATTTGCCATCAGTATGGTCTGAGGGCCAAACAGAAACAGACCAGATGAAGCTACTATGATATGAAAAAGCAGAGAGTGCAATAAGTTAGGGATTGAACTAACAAATAGTTTAGAATCTGAGAACGAAGAAATAATTGAGCAGAATGATGAAAAGTGGTCCCAACAAAGAAACTATGAAGTGGTCCCTATGTACTGTAGGAATTTATTTTTTTTTTTTCTGAGGGTTGTTTTTTTGGGGCTTCTTGTGTTGAATGCTGTGAAACTGAAAGAGTTTACCAGCGTTCTGTTACTAACATTTTACATTCCACCTTCTGTCATTGCCAACACTGCATGTGAGCTAACAACCGAATACTTGTGTGGCAATAACAATGCTGGTATAATGCCAATGTTCCAACAGTTTTTTAGCTACTGTACCAGAGAAAAAACAACTTTGGACTTGTTGTATTCAAATTTCAAGGACTCATACATCTCTAAATAAAGACCTTCTCTTTGGAAATCAGATCAAAATCTTGTTTTACTCTGCACAGAGTACAAGCCACTTTATAAGAGACAACCTGCATTAAAAGGAACTGTAAGAATATGGTCACAGGAAGCTGAAGAAACCATGCAAAGTTTGTTTTGAGACTATAATGCACTGTGCCAGCCTCACTGGGAGGACACCAGTGCAACGGCTGAGTGTGGGACTGACTAAATAAACTTCTGGGTAGATAACACCATCCCTACCAGAACACTGAAATTATTCCGTAACAATAAACTATGGATTCCAAGTAATTTGAAGCAACTGCTTAACAAGAAAAAACAAGCCACTTAAGGTCAAGATAAGGAGGCATACAGGAAGAGGCTGGAAAGGAAATTCAAGCAGAACAATATCAGAGATGTATGGTCAGGGATGAAAAAGATGACAGGCTTTAAGCAGAAGGATCATCAGACAGATGAAAATCTGAACAGAGCCAATGAACTGCATACATTCTCCCGTGGATTCATCTCAGCAAACAAACAAGCAGCTATCAGGACCCACTGAAGTTTGCTTATCGCTGTGGCATTGGAGTTGAAGATACCATCATACCCTGCATCAACAAACCCAATGTCATTTAGACAAAGCGGACATCATTGTAAGGATCATGTTTCTCCCTGAGAAGATCCCTGGTTCAAAACACAGACTCTGGATGTTATGTTCACTGCTCCGTTGGGGATAGGCAAAATGCAGAGGACACATTTTATTGGAATGTAAGATTGGGATAACAAAGACGATGACGAAGTTCCAACTAAAACCTTTAAGATTTGACATTTCAAACATTTCTTCAGAGAGGAACAATGAAAAGCTGGCAGCCAAATGTCATCTAGACTATGGCTGAATAGATTTGAAAAACCATCTGTTAACAGATGGAAGAGAATCCATAAAAAACAAAATAACTGCAGGTCTAAATCCTGCACTGAGATGTTCACAGCAGAAAAAAGCAGGCTCTTGTTTGGACATTACTTTAATTCAACAATGAAATAGTCCTATACTTACATACATAATATCATTGCAATGGTGAATGGAGATGATCATAATCTTTATCCTTGCTATAAGGTACAATTATCTTTCAGTTTAACTTTGCTTATAAAATAAGTCAAATATGCTATTCATACATTCCCAGTCTTCATTTAGATAATTCTGATGTAAATTGGCCAGGGTAACATTACAAGCTGTAAGGTGATGGAGTCAGTGCTCATGATACGCTTGGACTTTGCTTCCCTCCCTGCTTTAAGGTTTGTGTAATTGTGCCCAGAAACATGAAGCTCTGAATGTTTGGATGAATTTAATGCAGTCAGACGGGAAGCGGAGCAGGTAAGGTCGTTTTTGTTTTCCTGCTAATTAGTGCCCATTTGGAGCTGAAAACAGCGATGTCTTTCCAGACGCTGCTGAGAAAATCAAATAATCCTGGATGCCATCCACTTTCAGTTACGTGTTCATGGGTTTGAAACCAGATCAAATCCTCTGTTTAAATAACAGGAAGTGTCTGGAAACCTGGCTCAGGTTTGGTAAAAGGGTTTGAACCCTTTCCACTACATTCTGCCACTGAGACCAAAGAAAAGANTCTCTCGGCTGGCCTGGGAGCGCCTAGGGCTTCCCCCAGCAGAGCTGGAGGAGATGTCAACGGAGAGGGAAGTCTGGGAGTCTCTGCTTAGTCTGCTGCCCCCGCGACCCGGTTCCGGATAAAGCGGGAGACGACGAGTACGAGTATGATACTTTAGAATCTGAAAACGAAGAAATAATTGAGCAGAATGATGAAAAGTGTTCCCAACAAAGAAACTATGAAGTGGTCCCTATGTACTGTAGGAAAAGATTTTTTTTTTTTCTGAGGATTTTTTATTTTATTTTATTTTATTTTATTGGCTTCTTGTGTTGGAAGGATAGAAGGATTTTTACTTATAATCTTTTCCTTTTTGGATACTTGTTATGATGTGTAACCACAGTAAACATAGAAAGCAGCTAATATACATCTTTAAAGCTTAAATAATACATCAACTACAAGTTGGTACAAGCTGAGTTGAAAAGGAGGCATTGGGAATGCAGAGCAGGAGAAGAGAAAGGAACAAGAAATTTAAGCCATATCCTCATCATGGGCAATGTGATCTTAAGGAAACAAGATAGAAGAAATCCAAGCCCTAGCAGGGACCCAGCCAGAGTGTCAGCAAGGGAGCATCATGTGTTTTACTGAATCGTGACTGCAGGATCATACCTCGGACTCCAGCATCTCTCTGCCAGGCTTTCTGACCAGACGAGCAGGCAGACATTTAAGGAAGACTGGGAAATTCAGTGGAGGTGGGCTGGCAGTGCTAAATGTTAGATACTGTCATCCAGGACATGTTACTGAAAAGATATGTCACTACATCCAAGATATGTCACTACAGCCAAGATATGTCACTACAGCCAAGATATTGAACTATTGGTTGTTGGCAGTACTATTGGAAGTTGGGTTTCGGCCATATTATTTGCCCAGAGAGTTTACCAGTGTTCTGTTACATTCCACCTTCTGCCATTGCTGACACTGAATGTGAGCCAGCAACCGAATGCTTTTGTGGCAATAACTGGTGATTTTAATCATGCCTCACTCTCTGCTACAATGCCAATGTTCCAACAGTTTTTTAGCTACTCTACCAGAGAAAAAAACAACTTTGGACTTGTCGTATGCAAATGTCAAGGGCTCATATATCTCTAAATCAAGACCTCCACTCCAGATCAAAATCTTGTTTTACTCTGCACAGAGTACAAGCCACTTTATAAGAGACAACCTGCATTAAAAAGAACTGTAAGAATATGGTCACAGGAAGCTGAAGAAACCATGCAAAGTTTGTTTTGAGACTGTAATGCACTGTGCCAGCCTCACTGGGAGGACATCAGTGCAACGACTGAGTGTGGGACTGACTACATAAACTTCTGTGTAGATAACACCATCCCTACCATATTCCGTAATAATAAACTATGGATTGCAAGTAATTTGAAGCAACTGCTTAACAAGAAAAAAACAAGCCACTTAAGGTCAAGATAAGAGACAGTAAGGAAGCATACAGGAAGAGGCTGGAAAGGAAATTCAAGCAGAACAATATCAGAGATGTATGGTCAGGAATGAAGAAGATGACAGGCTTTAAGCAGAAGGATCATCAGACAGATGAAAATCTGAACAGAGCCAATGAACTGCATACATTCTCCC